CTGTGCATGCATTACCCGTCTCTGCTACTGTTCATGTCTCTGATGATAAATCCGCGACGGATGTCGAAAGGTCAGGCGAATAAGCATATTGTCCCAGCGATCGAGTCTTCTGCTTCTTCTCAATTACTTCCTGGAACACGCATGTTCGCTTGTATCGGACTGTTCAGCTTTGTCAGCCACTGCACCCGATCCCATTTCCAGTCTTCTTGACTTCTTTTTGGTAGCTAGCCTAGGTTTCTGAGAGAGAAGGAAGTGTGGTAGATTTTTCACAAGTTTGTAAGTCTTCATTCTGCGCACATCATATTTTGGCGCCCATGCTGGATCCCGTCGTTAGGAGCATACACTCAAAAGCAGGAATACCTACTTACAAGCTGCAGGTCTGGGAAATGAAAAAGTTACAAAGCCGGACCTTTGGCATCGGTGTCCTTATTCATTGCGAGGCGAGTAACCCGTCTGAGGATCCTTCAGGCATTGTATGGACTGCGTGGGGAGTCTTTGTCAAATCGAGAAAGGCTAGTCTAGAGGTTGATTCGCACAGTCTTTCTGATCCCGTACTGTGTTTCCGGAACGAGACCCTGCTCCAGCTGCCTGCTCAACTGATTATGTACCACGGGAGTTCACGTACACACACGCACACCTTCCAAGCAGCCCTTAAAATAGAAACTTCGCGATGGTTGATACAGAGATGTCTGTTTCCTTTCCATACATGTAGAGGGATAGCGGCTGCAAATGGCGGGATTTTTTTAACTTTGTCTTCCTTGCTACGCATCCTAAAACAATGTCCGTGAAGTCAAGACCACCGTATTTTTAAATTTCGGTTCTGATTAAGTCGGTGTCCGCTGAATAGCTGTTGCACTGTTTTGCCTGTCTCCTGTAGAAAAGGCGGACAATTGGCATTGTCATCCGCTCAGGGGAGGCGGTGGTAGGCCTCCCACAAATTGTGACAAGGTTCCGGACACATGTTTTCAACCAACGACGTTTAAAATGTACAGCAACGCACATTCGAGCCCATACGAGCCCTTACCTATCAATAGGCCTTTTGACAGAATCGGGTACTGCATTTGACCCATTTTTGGAAAGAATCAGCGGCCTCGGTGTGATTCGTATCCACGACAGCAGGAACAGAGCTTGAGTACAGCCGACGCTCTAACAACCTGGGCTACAACTACCTACAAATATTATACTACTTTTGTCAAGTCAGTAGCCATGTATGATTACATCTGCGGATGAGCGACAGCTGTCCGCTTTTCGCCTGCAAGCATTTAAATGACTTATTTTTTGAATTTTTCTTTTTTATCGATACATTTCCTAGCCCCTTTGTTACCAATAGGGACCTCAAAGGCGTTCGCCCAACTTTTCCTTAATAAAATTGAACTAAACTGAACAAGGCCCCACCGGCCGGTGTGCGTTTAATCACATCCGAGCGCCTGAGGCCTTAATCTGACTTAAGTATGTAGATTCAATCTGCGGTGGCAAAATCTCATTGCTTCTCGACTTTCGTTTCAGGCGGGAAGTTTGTTCCGCGAGCAGTCCTCACCGACTTGGAGCCTGGCACAATGGACGCGGTACGTTCGGGCCCGGTGGGCAACCTTTTCCGTCCCGACAATTTTGTGTTTGGAGCAACTGGCGCGGGAAACAACTGGGCCAAAGGCCACTACACGGATGGAGCTGAGTTGATCGACAGCGTCACGGAAGTGGTCCGCAAGGAGGCCGAATACAGCGAATGCCTTCAGGGTTTCCAGATCACCCATGCTCTGGGTGGCGGCACTGGCGCCGGTATGGGAACACTCTTGATCAGCAAAATTCGTGAAGAATTCCCTGATCGAATAATCTGCAGCTTTTCCACCGTGCCCTCACCCAAGGTAGGCCAAAATTGTTGTTTTTAACGTCCTCGGAAATTATTTACTTATTTGCAGGGAATCCGTCTAAATATATATATTCAGTCCTAAAGTGGACCGAAGTTCATTAGTCGCCGTGGAAAACCGTGTAATATTCATAAATTGCTAACAGGCAGCTGGTATTACAGATGGCCACGAACATACTACTACATTGATTTAGATAGACCTTTAATTTGCATTAAAGTTGTTTCAGGTAAGCATTTCACAGTGGGAATGCTGTGAACGTGTTGTATGCTGTTAGTTTGCAAACTCTCGCCTTTTTAACCAGTCATATTTCATAAATATTTGGTGAGGTTATATCGAGGGGTCGGATATTTTCCTATCTAGAATAATCAACTAGTTACAAATGTTCAGTAGGTTGAATTACCTATAATCTTCCGGTTTTCTACACGCCACCCATCGATTCAGCTGGGATTTGCTGATGACATTGAACTGCAGAGTGGTTCTTCGAAGGCAACCGCATTCCATAATTGCTATTATCGGCAAACTAAGAAAAGTTGGCCTTTTGAACTAACCCCAGGAATTATCGCTTACTTACAATTTTTAAGTAGGGTGATTTACATAATCTCGCTACTCTTGTTCTTCTTTAAACTTTTTCCTAGTTGGTGTTGGTGATACCACTGGAAAATGTCTTTCTGTTACCCCGCCCAAGGCTTGGGCATACTTCCCCTCCATATACGCGTTCGCCGTTGGTCGGGCGGGGGGTTAGCGATGATATTAGAGCTCATTCAGTGTCTTCTCCCAAGGCTTGGGTACGCGACCCAACTTGCCCATGTAACTTTTTTATTTGACAAAATTATTGGGATCTACTTTTTTCCCTGACATGCCCCGGCCATCCTATCCCCGAAAATCAGGTGTACGTTAGCCCGCGGGGCACGCTT